TTCCTGCTGTCCTGCTGCTCTGCCCTCTCCCTGCGGGCTGAAACGTGGTCTGGGCTGCAGCCTGAGGGAGACCTTGCAGGGCTGGGAAAGCGCCTTGTGGATGCCAACGGAACGCAGGAGCTTTGTAGGGGAACCATTCCTGGCTGGTATCTCAGCTCCCCTCTCCTCTCCTGCTCACGGTTGGTGAAACTTTGTGATGTTGGTTCTAAAGAGGAGACATCTGGGAGGAGAAGAGCAGGGGGGGCTCTAGCAAGGGAGGCTGGAGCCGCTGGTAAAGACCCCCAGTGGATGGTGGCAGTGGGCAGAGCTGGGGGGGTTCCTGCCTGTTTGTTGTAATGTTCATAATGGGCAGAGCTGAGCCTGGTTGGATTTGAACCATTTAAGGCTCAAATGTTGATCTCACTGTGGCTGCTACTCAGGTGTGATTACACCTGCTCTCAGAGCAGAAAACCAGGCTTGGGGCCCAGGAGGTTGATGAAGGCAACAGGATTCCCCTGTGAGCCTGTAGCTGGTGTCTGTCCCGGGGGCATCAGCAGGTCCTGGCTGCTCTGCCTGGCCCCAGGACAGGATTGTAGCTCTTCAGTGTTTGGGTGCTGCTCCTCATGGCCTCACCAAAGGGGATGTTATCAAAGCTTTCCTTTGGCTTCTTCAGCTGGACATGATTACTCCTGGACCTCCCACATCCATCTCAAAGCGACCACACCTCAACCTTCCTTCCCTTCCCGTGCACATCTCCCCACTCCATGTCCCCACCTGAGACAGATGGCCCCTAAGTCACTTGGTTTTCCTGCAAGGAAATGAAACAACCCTACAAGGATCTGAATCCCCTTCTGCCACCTCCAGAGGTGGCCTGGAGCACAGGGGGTCGGGGTGGTTCAGAGCAAGGCCCAGAGGGCTGTGAAGTCCTGCAGCTTCCAGGTGGGATTTGACAGGAAGGCGAAAGGATTCGGGCCCAGCCAGGAAAGGGTGGTGGGAGAGGAGCAGAGGGTCCTGCCCCAGGCATGGTGCCCACTCCCCACGGGTGGCACAGCTTTAGGAGGAGCTGTACTTGTTGCTGAGGCGGGAGCTGCTCCGGTCCAGCCCCAGCTCCTGCCCGTTGGCTTTCCACTTCCCCATGGAGCCCTTCTCGTCCGTCGGGGTGATGCTCAGGGCTGGCCTCTGGCACCAGCAGCACAGGCAGGACTGGGAGGAGATGGGAGGGAGGAGAGGTTACAAGCCAGGGCTGCAGGAGGAGGGAATATTCCCCTACTGCTGCTGGCAAACCAGCCTGCCTGGTGCCAGGCTGGGGATCACATCCTGCCCTTCCAAGCCTGCCTGCCCTGCAGGTCTGCTGGGAGCAGGTTTGCCAGGATTGGGCTGCTGGGGGTTTTAAATGCAGACACCAAAATCTTGGGTACCTTTTGCAGTTGTGTTTTCTGTCCTTGTGGGACAGAAAATATGGATAATGCTTGGCTGGGCTCAGCTCTTCTTTTTGCCACAGCAGCTGGGAGATGACTTCCTTCCCATCCCCATCCCATCCCCTTCCTTTCTCAGGGCTCCACTAGTCCTGAAAACTATTTCTGAATAACCTGGGCTCTAAGTTTAAAGCAGCCCCAGGCCCTGGTCTGCTGTTCTGTGGGGCTGCTTCTAATCCAGAATGACAGGGACAGAATGACTGGGGCTGGTCAGCACAGCCAGGAGCTGGGGAGGGCTCAGTCCTACCTGGAAGCAGTTCTTGAATTTCCGACTGACAAAGTAGAGAGCCACGGGGTTGATGCAGGAGTTGAGGGAGGCCATGTTGATCCCAAAGTAATCCATCACCAGGAGGAAACTGAGGCAGGAGGGGAGAGAAGAGGGTGGCTGTGTTGGAAGCTCAGTGAGGGAGGGTTTCCAAACTGCCTGACCCAGAACCTGCTTCCACAGGGACTGGTAGCAGAGCTGAGCACAGAACAGCCTCCCCCACAGCTGGGCACTTGCCCAACAGCTTTTCTTGCCAGGGGCATTTCCCAGGGAAACCAAGGGCAGGAGACCTCTCTGGTGTTCTCAGACCCCAGCACAGCAGCAGTGTCTGGCCCAAACTGGATTTAGGTGTCATGGGCAAAGAGGAGAGGGGAAGACAGGCCCCTGCCCCAGAGCAGCCAGTGTGTGCAGCCCCCAGATGTGCTGCAGGCCCTTTGGCCCTCCAGGGAATGCTTCTCATTCCTTCCTGGAATGCTCAGGAGACATCTTCAACCCATAGCTTGATAGAACCATTTCAAATTCTAATCTCTTCTCGTGGTCCCCCACACCCCAGCAGGAGAGCAATGCCATCTAGAAAAGGAGCTACTGAAACAAGGTCTTTGGAAGGAAACTTCACCAGCCTGTGCTGAGCCCAGCAGAGCCTCTGCCAGTGCCTGCAGGGGCTGCCAGCACAGTCCCCTCCTGCTGGTGGCCCTACCTGAGCAGTTCACATCTGTTGGGGTCTGTCTGGTCATAGATGGTCTTCTTGAGGATGCGGCTGAGGTGGAGGGGCAGCCAGCAGAGGGCAAAGATCACCACCAGGCAGAAGACAGTCTTGGCCACCTCCCTGCGCTGCAAAGAGACGTGGGCAAAGAGTTTTCCCATCTAAATGGATGTCCCTGGTCCTATCACAAACCTCCAGAGCATATTCTGGAAGAAGGGGTGTCTGGCTGAGCACTGGGGAGCAGGTGGAGCAAAGCACCATCTCCCCATGCTGAGCAAGGCCCTGCAGGCAGTTTCTGTGGCCTGACAGGGCTGGGCAGCCCCTGACTCCAAAGCACAACCCAACTCCTGCATCCCAAGGAGGACCCTGAGCTCCAGGAGCAGAAAGGGGGACGGTGCCACCAGCACCATGTGGACCAGACTCCTCCACACCTCTTCCCACGTGGTGACTTTGCTGGGGTGAGTCTCCCTGGGCTGTGGGGACCTGGGCTGGCACAGCATGGCCAGAGATAAACAGCCATGAGAAACTGGAGATCAGGCTGGTGCTTGGGGTTGTCCCTGAGCCTGGAGCTGGAGGCCTGACTCCCTGGTTTAACCCAAGCACCTGCATCACTGTGCTGATATCCAGTGACCACTGTGGCTGTGCCAGCCCAGACGTGTCCTTCACAGGGACAGGGATCTGCTCCCCCTTCCCCAGCACCCCTGGCTGGGGCAGCAGCAGAGTTTCTGCCCTCCTGGATTTTCTTACCCGTTTCATGTGGTCATTCAGAGCAATTCTCATGCCATTCCTCTTGCTCAGCATCTCGCATGACATGAGGGTGTAGAAGATGCCAGTGCACACCAAGGGGAGGCAGAAATAGAAGCCAAAAAGCCACCAGTCCTTCACGTCACGGTAGAACTGCATGGGAAAGAGAGAGCAACTGGGAAGTGGGGAAAGATGGGGAGGGGGAACTGGGGCAGGGGCTGAGCTGGTCCCTGACCCTGATGCTGGGCTGTGCCAGGCACTGCTGGTGTGTGGAGGTGCTCCTGCGCTTGGGGCAGGTGGGAGCACCTTCCCCCAAAGCTGGTGCACATCTTTGACCCCCAGGACTAAAGGTTGGGTGACATTTGGCTGCTGGTCCCAGCTGGCAGCCCTGAGCAAGACACAGTTGCAAGGAGCTTGCTAGGTTGACATGGGGGTAAGGCCTGATGCTGTGTGAGGGTCTTCATCCCCATGCTCACCCTGAGCTGACCCTGTGGTAAAGGTTACCTGTGCAGACTGTGAAGATGCTCTTTGGACTGCTGGGACAGTCTAGCTTGTTCTGATCCTTCCTGAGATGTGTCAAGAGCTTGTGCTGTGGATGGTGGACACCACACAGCTTAAGGACCAGCTGCCTGTTCCCTGCTCCTGCATCCAAAGCAGGTCTACCCCGTGTCACTACAGCACTGGGTGCCCGTGCTGCCTAATGCTGCTCTCTTTGTGCTCACCTGGATGGCTAGAAGAAGCCACCCTCAGCAGCCCCTCACCCTCTGATCAAGGAGGGAGGATGCCCTGCTTGCCTGTGCCCTCCTGGCAGCACAGGGTGGGACAGGGTACGTACCATCATGAAGCTGGACTTCTGCTCAGAGGCCAGCATGCAGACCCACAGGTGCTGCTCCCAGTAGCTGAGCTCCACCATGTCAAAGGCGATGGCCTCGGGGACGGCCAGCACGATGGCCACTGCCCAGATCACCACCACCTCCACTGCCTTCCACATGGGGATGCCAATGCCCTGGATGCGGCTCCAGGACGCCACGGCTCGGTACCTGCCCGGGGGTGGGAACGTGGGGGGAGCAGGGAGTGAGAAAACAACCCTCAGGAGGAGCAGGTGTGGACTCGAGCTGTTCCCACAGGCCTTTCCCTTGTGTCTTCCTCCTCCACCCCTGGGCCTTCCCCTCTGTGGGATGGGAAAGATCAGGAGCAGGGGCTGGAGGAAGGCATGTGGTGGTACTCCCCTGGGCCAAGGTCTCCCTGCCACTGAGGAGGTGTCACCCTTCCCCACCACCCCAGCAGCTGTCCCAGCTCACTGGGATCACAGAATCCTGGAACAGTTTGGCTTGAAAGTGACTTTAAAGCCCATCCAGTCCCACCCCTGCATGGGCAGGGACACCTCCCACCAGCCCAGGCTGCTCCAAGCCCCATCCAACCTGCCCTTCAACACTGCCAGGGATGGGGCAGCCACAGCTTCCCTGGGCAACCTGGGCCAGGCTCTCACCCCCCTCAGGAAAGAGTTCCTGTTAGGAAATAATTTCTTCCTGATATCCTAATGATCCTTCCGTCACCCTTTTCTATCAGGATTTAAACTCTCTCACCAGAGTCAGGTCCTGTTGGATTTCAACTCTACATGACAGCACCTTGTCCCCATCTCTGGGTTTGTCCCCGGACCAAGCCCCCTGCCCTCTGCTCCCTGGTTCTGATGAGGGCACCTGAGCAGCAGCAGTTCCAAGTTGTGTCTTACCTGTCGATGCTGAGAGCACAGAGGCTCAGGACTGTGATGCCCACTGAGGCCTTCTGGATGAAGGGGACCAGCTTGCACACCTGCACACCAAAGGGCCAGTCCTTTGCCAGGAGCTGGGGAAGGACCACAGGGTGACCAGACTGCTTCAGGAAACCATGTCCAGCTTCCTGGAGCAGCTCCTGGTTACCCAGAAGGTGTGAGGAGCTCACGAGGAGCAGCTGAAGGCACTCTGGGGAGAGGGGCTGCTCGGATGGCCCAGGGAAATCCTGACCACCAGGAAACACCAGTGTGGATGTGGCCAGAGCAGGGAGTCCCCACCCACCCTGGAGATTTGTCCCAGTTTCCCTGTGACAAGGCAGGCAACACCAGTGCAAGATGTTGTCCTCAGCCTGGACAAAATATCATGACTTTTCTTGGTGCTGGCTGCAAGCTGTGCTGGCTGCAGCTCCAGGAGGTGGCCAAGTCTGGCTGTTTGCACTGTCAGATTCTTCCTACTTTGGCTTTCTCCTCTTTCTCCCTCTGCCACCCATTCTGCTCGAGGCAGGACCCCTCTGGCCCTCAATATCCACTTTTCAGGCTAAAGCTTCTCTGACCAACAGATCTGGCTGAGCTCCAAGTCCTTCACCCCAGGGCATCCTTTCCAACCCTTCAGAGAAACCTCTGGCTCCAGCCCACAGAAACCTGCCCCAAGTAGTGGGTGAGAAGGAGCTGCAGTAGCCCAGACAGACCTCCCAGATGTCCTAACACACCTTCTGCTCCTCACTGGGGTCTCAGCTCTACTGCCCACCCCTGCCTGCTCCCCTCTGTCCCCGGGCACCCTGCAGAGCTCGGGTTCCTCTGATCATTTGTGCCCTTCCCTCTCACGTAGAGGAGCACGTCTGCAAGCAGCCCCAGGTCTGTAACACCCCCTCCTCCCTCTTCCTGGGTGAGGAGCCACTTTTAGGTAGAGTAAAAGATCTTTTCTTGAGGCTGCTGGACTGAACTGTGCTGGGGAGGTGTCCCCAGAGCAGCAGGACAGTCATTTTTGCTCAGCTGAAATAGACACCAGGTTGTAATGTCAGTGATTCTGTTCTTGTGATTTTTAGATGAGAGGTAAAAGATGTGGAGGGTTGGGTGCTTGTGTGTGTGCACAACACAGCTGCCTCCCCAGGAATGTCCTCCCAGCCTTTTTTCTGTTGATGTTTTCCTCCTCCTTCTGGGAGCACAAACACCCTCCCCTTGCAAAAATGGAGCCAAGGAGAGAGATTCCCCAGGGCAGGAGGTGGGTGGGAGCAGACACCATCCCTGCCATCTCCAGCCTGCTTAATCCTGTGGGGTCTGCTTAACCCCATGGAGCCCACCCAACCCCATGGAGCCCACCCAAGCCCATGGAGCCCACCTTGTACACATTGATGGGCAGAGCAATGAGGATGTAGAGAAGGTCTCCGAGCGCCAGGCTGGCAATGAGGACGTTCGGCCCGTTCCTCATGCACTTGTTCTTGTAGATGATCCTCAGGAGGGTGGAATTCCCAATGATTCCTACTATGAAGATGGTGCAGGACACGATGGTGTTGATGTACTTGAAGATGTGTCTGATATCTGCGGGCTTCAGGCAGACGGGCAGCAGGGGTGGCTCCGAGCTGGTGGTGCTGGGAAGGCTCTCTGAGCGGTTGGGCAGCTCCTGGAGCAGGCTCTGCTGGAGCAGGCTGTGAGCCTGCTCCTGGCCAAGCACCTCCAGGGGGATGGTGCTCTCCTGGAAAGCCCTTGCAGTCTGGCCGTGTGCCCCGGGGAAGAGGCAGGTCAGGAAGATGGCCAGGGTGGTGGGAGATGGGACCCCCGCCATCGAGGAGGGGGTGGCACAGCTGGGAGCACAGCCCTGCTGGTGCAAGTGGGATGTTCCCTGCGTGGGTCTCGGGTGGATCTGAGCCTCTGCTCCCTGGAGACAGCTGGGCAGGGTGGGCTTTGCTCTCACCCCTCCTGATGTTGTTCTCAGCCGTGCTGGGAATGCAGTGAAGAGGGGAAGACAGGAAGGGAGAGGAAGGGGTAAGTAACCTAGAGGACCCAAGCCTGACCTGTTGGAGCAGCCCTGACTTGGTGCAGGGGCTTTATCCTGGTCCTCAGCTCTCCATGCTGCCCGAGGCACCCCAGGGGAGCTGTCTCATGGGGGGTTGCCACGACCAATGCCCTCCTCTCCCCCCCCATGGGATTGCAGCTCCTCCGAGAGGACAGACCCCGCTCAGAATTCCTGCCTGGGATCACTGGGGGCTTGGGCAGCTCCCAGGGAGCAGCTCTGGGTGGCACAGCCAGTGCCCACCACTCGGGGCTGGCTGGGGGCTTGGCAGTGAATGGCTGGGGGTGGCAGAGCATCCCTGGGAGGTTGTCCCTGTGTCCCCCTGAGGCAGCAGCTCCTGCCCCTCTCCCCTCGCCCCTGCAGAGCATCCCTGGGAGGTTGTCCCTGTGCCCCCCGAGGCAGCAGCTCCTGCCCCTCTCCCCTCTCCCCTGCAGAGCATCCCTGGGCGGTTGTCCCTGTGTCCCCTGAGGCAGCAGCTCCTGCCCCTCTCCCCTCTCCCCTGCAGAGCATCCCTGGGAGGTTGTCCCTGTGTCCCCCCGAGGCAGCAGCTCCTGCCCCTCTCCCCTCTCCCCTGCAGAGCCCGGCGTGGCCGCTCAGCCCCGGGGCTTGGGCAGAGCAGCTCATGTGAGCCAGGATCACAGGACCCAGCTCGGAGGATCCTGCCCAACCCCTGCAGAGCAGCTGCAAAACACTGCAGGGAAAAAAAAAAGGCAACAAAACCCCAAAACTCTTCTCCCCAGTCTTGCCTTAAAATGCAGCAATTTAGTAAAAGAGAAAGATTGTTTCCTCCAGCTCCACAGCTCATGTAGTTCTTGCCCTCCCCGCTGCCTCTCCCAGCTCAGGGTGCTTCAAAGCACGACCCTTCCCCACTTGAGGGGAAACTGAGGCACGGGGACATCAAGAAGCTTCTTCAGCGCCCAGATATGAAGCCTGAGCCCAGGTCCTCTGAGCTCTGCTCGTGTGGCTGATCCCCCGGGCAGTGACCTGTGGAGCTGGGACAGCCCTTTGTGCTGTGCTGAGCCCAGACTGCAGCTGGACGTGCCCGTGATGTGAACATCAGGGAACCACGGAGTCACAGACTTGTCCTGGCTGGGAAAAACCTTTCAGATCATCGAGTCCAACAACTAACCCAGCTCTACCAACCGTTAACCAAACTCTACCAAGCCCCCCGCCCCCCCCCCCCGCCTCTTCTAAACCCTTCCAGGGATGGCACCTCCCACCATCCACTCGTTTCTTCTAATATCCAGCCTCGTCCTTCCCTGGCACCACCTGAGCCCCCCTCCCTGCCAGCAGATGAGACTGGAAACCTCTGGCACAGCCCTGCACAGCCCGGTCCTGCCTGCAGGGTGGCTCAGGATCCCTCTTGCCTGGCAGCCCAGGAGAAGCAGCCACAGCCCCAGGGGAGCCCTCACCCCAGCCAGCCTGTCCCACCACACTGCCCTGCCTGCAGGAGCAGCTCTGGGGCTCTCCTGCCAGACTAACCTTGCCAAGACCCTCTCGGAGCAGCCTGGTGTGGCGGGAGGTGTCCCTGCCCATGGCAAAGGATGATCTAAATGATCTTTAAGGTCCCTTCCAACTCAAACCATCCAGTGACTCTCTGAACATTCCATGCAGCAAGAGCAGGGAGGGTGGGGGACAGGGGAGAGAAAGGCAGAGCAGAACATCCCGTCTCCAGCATCTCCCCTGCCCTGAGCCCAGCCCGGTGCGCAGCAGAGGGACCCTCCCCCAGGACTTCTCCTCGCCCACCCTCCCCAGCCACCTCAGACCTTCCTCAGGCCCCACGGACCCTTGGGCAGAGCTGAGAAAGGTGCCCGAACTCACCCCCCCCACGCAGGAAACAACTTTCAAAGCAGCGCAGGGACGAGCAAAGCTGCTCTTTGGCGTCGTTACCTCCCCGGTACCCACCGGCTCCGGATGCTCCTGGGGTCGGTTCCTTCCCCTCCCACGGCGGGGGCAGCGGGACGTGTCCCGTGGGCCCGGGCGGGGGTCCCGAAGGTG